TATTGAGTTACTTCTCACTTCATGTCTTTTCATCCTCTATCATCTCAATGGCCCTTTTCTGTGTTAATTGCCAATCCAGGGCACAGCGTAGAACAAAACAAAATAAATTCAAGAGAGAGAAGATAATTCATTTAATTTTTTTTTTAATTCTAAAAACAGATTGAGAGAAAGAGTTCTCCACCATCCTTCTACCCCAAAACCCGCCCTGGAGTCTGCAGCAATCAGCATAAACAGGGATATAGTCTTCATGGTTTTCTCCTGAGAACCACCTTCCCCCTCTAAACTGACCAAACCTAATATTCCGAATCCGCCCCTCCAGGCATGCACAACCGAAAAGCATCTCCCTGCAGCAGGAGGCATTCTTTGTCTGCTGGTAATTAGCAAAGCGATCATAGTCAGCTTCACACTGGGATTTATCCACACAATCATGTTTGTAAATTTACGAACTCTGTGTGATCTGGGATAAGCTATTTATTAGCATTTTATAGAAGAAGAAACCAGAGTTATTGCGACAATCAAAAGAGAGAGCTTGTGTAGCATCCTTAACAGAGTACCTGGTACCAAGTAAGTGCTCAATAAATGGTAGCTATGACAATATTTATTAAGAGAACCTACCGAACTATGCTTCATTACTTGCTTTTATGCACATCTGTCTCTTGTTGAATCTTACCGTCCATAGCTTAAATAAGAAAGGTACCCTGCGATTAAAATGCTTAATCACCCTTCTATGGAGACAATGAGAACACGTGTTTATAATAGGGTGAGGGAGGGGTGACAGGAGGTAAAATACCAAAATTATTACAAAGATAAATGTAAACGATTTTCGAAGACCCATTTTTTGCTCTCTTTGACTAGAATAATCAAAAGCTTATTCATAACCGTTAGGATAAAATTAAGCTGGCTAGTATTTTTTAGGCTTTTTATATCTAACTTGTTAAGATATGAATATCAGAAATCCAAGTAAATTGAAACAGAATTATGATATTTGACTTCTAATGTATTTCAAATAACTAAAAGCTCAAATTAATTTTACAGTCCCCTAATGATACATTCTAAAACTTAGATAACTGAAATAATACTACAAGAAATCTGGGTCAGTTTCCAAAGGCCCTAACATTGACTTTTTTAAGGTCCTCAATACTGACTTTGGAACTAGACTAAAACATAATAATTTTATATCACATAAAAAATCTCTTAAGTGTTCAATTAAGAAAAGCATACTTGTACCTCCCTTATCTTTGGAAATCAGTTAAGACACAGCTCTTGCTCTTGAGAAGCTTACTGTCTAGCACAAAAGAGAGATATACGCATTTTTCAATATGACATGGTAAGTTGTTTTAAAAAAAAAGATACCCCAGAGTTCTCTGGGAAGAGAGTGAGAAAGGAGGATCACTTAGCCTTAGGACAGGCTGGAGGTGGCTAAGGCAAGCACAGGAGAGCCCAGATTGATGACAGCTCACATAAGGCAACGCAAAATAGACAAACATTCAAAAGATATATTTACACATCTACAGCAAGCTAATACCATAGAAAAGATGTAATCTTCTACTATTGAATACAAATAATAAGTGAAAGAATACCATCCGAAAGCACCTTTTTTGGAAATTAATCTATCCCGTTTCTACGCACAGAAAAGAAGCCTGGTCCACGTCACAATGTGCTATGAAGAAACGCTTCCTGTTTTATGACTTTAGGTTTTGTTTTTTATTAAAATGAGGGGGGAAAAAACCCAGGCGCCACAACAATGAGTGCCATTACATCTACACTTACGCTCATCAGTGAGCTGAAAAATAAAGCTTGCTGCATTCCTTGACTAAAGAAGCTAGGATTCTGGTATATTTTGTGTACCTTTAGGTTAATACGACAGAGAGAGATCAGCTTCCTCCTTCTCAAATTGGGGTAGTACCTACCTCATAGGGTTCTTGTGAGGATTAAATAAGAATTAATATTTGTGGGGCCGGCCCAATGGTGCAGTGTTTAAGTTTGCACGTTCCGCTTCTCGGTGGCCTGGGGTTCGCCAGTTCGGATCCCAGGTGAGGACATGGCACCACTTGGCAAAAGCTACGCTGTGGTAGGCGTCCCACATATAAAGTAGAGGAAGATGGGCATAGATGCGAGCTCAGGGTCAGTCTTCCTCAGCAAAAAGAGGAGGACTGGCAGACTTAGCTCAGGGCTAATCTTCCTCAAAAAAAAAAAAATTAATACTTGTGAAGTGCTTAGAACAGTGCCTGGCCCATAGGAAGCACTAGTGAGGGTTTGACTGATTGATGGGAAAAAGATGGAACCGCAATCAAACTGAACAGGGTCCGAGGAAACCATGTGTAACAAGAGGAAATGTCAGATCAGACAGACAGAAACCTTCCTTGCAGATGGACAATGCAAGAGTTTGAGAAAGCATCTGCTCTTCCATATAACTATGCTCAACACAACACACAGTGATCAAATTGTGTAAAATACCATCTCGCTTGGATGACTATGGTTACAAGAGAGAGAAGACAGTTCTTAATGGGCTGATACTCAGAAACACAATTTCTCATTTAAATACATCAAATACGTTAGACAAACACATAGTTCCATTACTGTCTTGACTGCCTGACTGGTCTACCTGACCAATTAGATTACATAATATACCCACATGGAAAACCTTTACTCTTGCACCCTAACTTGTAATTTATAATATTCAAAGCGCCCTTGTGCCACAATTCGAAGCAGTCACGTTTTAGTTAGGAGAAAAAGTGAGAGTAAGAGCCCAGGACCAGCATCTCTGTTGGAGGAGTGGCCAGCCCCTGGAAACCCCAGAAACAGCCCTTGGGTAACTGCTTCAGGAGTTCGAACCATAAGGTGTCAGAGAGATTACTAGTGCCATCAGAGTCTTTTTTCCTCCCCTCCCTTACCCACCAAGCCCTGCAAGCATCTCAGCACATATTAAACTCTCTTTTTAACATCTTTACTCACGGAAGCCTCTGCCTCCTGGGCCTTTGGCTTTCACTTCAACTGGTTATAAGGTAAGAAGGAGAGATCTAGTTCAAGACATTCAGGAAATGAGCAATCGATCACCTAACAGGATCCCAAATTTTCCTATCCACCAATTGTTAGCATCATCAAGTTGATTCCAACTCCTGGGACCCCGTGTACCGCAGAAAGGAACCCTGCCTGGTCATTTTGCGCCGTCCTCTCATCTTCCGGCGCTGTATCAGACAATGCTCCACTGCTATCCTCAGGGTTTTATGGCCAATTTTCTGGAAGTGGGTGGCCAGGCCCTTCTTCCTAGTCTGTCTTAGTCTAGAAGCTCCACTGAAACCTGTCCACCCTGGGTGATCCTGCTCGTATTTGAAATATCGGTGGCAGAGCTTTCAGCGTCACAGCAACACGCAGCCGCCACAGTATAACAACCAACAGACCAGAGGTGTGGTTCCCTGACCAGGAAGTGAACCCAGGTCATGGCGGTGACAGCGCCGAACCTTAACCACAAGACCACCAGGGCTAGCTCTAATCTACCATACAATCTCTGTAAATGTCCAAAATGTGAAATAAAGGATTACAACAGGTGTTGCGGGGTTTTTTAAAATGTAAACCATTATAAACTAGGTTTCTAATATTCTTCTGGTTGAGTAACAAATTAACCAAATCGTATTTTTTTTAAAGCTCTGAGGATATAAAATTAAAAAGCATTAAGGAATTAACTGGTAACTTTTCCCCATAATAAAAGGAAGATTAAAGGGCTGGCCCCACGGTCTAGTGGTTAAGGTCAGTGTGCTCTGCTTCAGCAGCCTGGGTTCAGTTCCGGGTATGGACCTACACCATTCATCTGCAGCCACATTGTGGTGGCAACCCACACACAAAATAGAAGAAGACTGGCACAGATGTTAACTCAGAGTGAATCTTCCTCAGCAAAAAAAGAAAAAAGAAAAGGAAGGCTAAAAACTAGGCCAAAGGAGAATACTTGGGTATCATACATAATAAGTTATACATAAAATAAAAGAAAGAATCATAATAGTTGGAAACAAGTAATTTCTCAACCATAAGAGCTCAGATGACTTTCAACAAGCAATATGGAATATATAGAAGGAAACACTTAATAAACATTTGTTGACTGATGTCCAAAACTACACTATATAACTGCTACAAATAACTGGCATGTAAGGAAATCAATCATTGACCTTGAACTATATTTATTATACTCCAATTATGTGCCAGACAGTATAAATGTATACATTTTCCCCAACCACTTGTGGTTTACAAAATGGCTTAAGACATCTTATTTTAATTGAGAGCACAAAAAATGAAATACATGCCCACAAGTCTTTCAACCTCCATCAATCAGCATTAATAATCCATGTCACAAAACACCACTTCCTCTCATCCCCGCCATGTGTCTCCTCTGCCTTTCCTCAGCACGGTAGTTATAATCAATACCCACCATGCACAGCAGGTCAGCTAACAATACCTTATATTGACAGCATTGTTCCTCAAGGTCCCAGGGCTACATTCTTCTCCCAGCCACAAATCCAAACCTAAGTGTTTTGGTCATGAAGAAATCATTAAAAAACTATCAACCTTCACAAATGTGCTTTTATAAATGCTATAACACATTGTCCTAGATGCTAAATTATCAACCCGTCCTCATGTTATCACAGCGCAACCAGAAACCACAAAAGAACGTCGACCCGCAAACAGCCAGTAAAGGCTTCCGTGGCCTTATACTGCCCGGGCAGGTTCAAGTGGTCATTAACAAGTGACTTTCAACGGCAAAAGCACGATGTTAATCCGAATTTAAACAAGAACATTTCTTGGCTGGTTTCACCTTTGGACATGCTTCATAAGTTACAGAATTTTTCAGGTAGCACAATGGCTGTGGTTACAATTATCAGATCATATTTTACAACTTATACCAAAAATTAGGACCAGTTTTTCTTCCTAAAATTAAGACTCTGAAGCCTAGAAATGCAGAAGACCCAGACTGCTGTGCATCAGCGAGAGTGACAAGAAGTATTTCACACCTGAGGATGCACTGTGCTGTTCCTCACTCGCGCCAGGTGGCTAATCTCCACCGCGGACAGAAAGCCCACTTCCCATTTGCGTTTCCGAAGGAGAAACTGCGGAGATCACCGTATTTTTTTCTTTCACTATCTGGTTCTGCACATACTTCAGAACACTAGTAACTTACACGAACACGCCAAATTACTGTTTTTCACTGCACTGACAAAAGCTTCATTTCATGCTTCAGAGCTGGTGTAAATAAACCACTCCAACAAAGTGGGGCTTGCAATACATGACTGTTTGTTTCTGATGTTTACTGACTTTTTTCTTGGCAGAAAGTGATACAGCTTTAAAGATGCCAAACTATATTGAATCTTGTGCCCTCTGCGAGCCAACAGCAAAGGCAAAACATGAGTCCTTATTGTACTGAATTAACGCTGGAGATCTCCATTCTTCAGAACACAAACTCAGGGCCACAGTGGAAATGTTTAGGCTAGAACCCATAGTGAGGGTTCTGTCTGGCTGCGAAGCAGGTCCAGAGTCCTTGCACTTGAATGTTGGACTTGCTAACAAAGATCTGAATAAAGCTCTTTCTTGGTACCTCAGAAAGAACACAAAAATAATTATTTTTAGTACAAAATATGAAACTACCCTGTGTCTATATAATATGTCTAGGCTTCAACATCGTGATTGCCTTTCATGCTTAAATGAGAAAATACTTATTTTCTCTCCAGGTTGCCTTCTCAAAACAGATCTACAGCCTTCATTTTAATCAAAGTGCCATTTCATTACCATCATCAAAGACTACTGAGCAGAGCGTCGTGAATCACTCTGCAGGTAAAATTTGGTTTAAAAACAAACCCAATTGTGAAGTAACCTTCAAATTCTTGCTGCAACTTAATCCTTTAGTTTCCAATACAATCTTCTAATGAAGTGACATTACTTAAAATTGCTAGCAAATATGAACAGACTTAGAAACCCAGCAATCAGCAGGCTAACAGGTGGTGAAATCCCAAAAGAGGGGAGAGGAATATTAGAGAATCACTTTACATCTGACACGGCAAGTAGTTTTAATATCCATACCTCTAGTCAACTTAACTGCAATTCAAAATGATCAGTGCCATTGGTTTCTCTTCCTTAACTAGTGTTTAGCAAAAGTATAATTTCTTGCCTTCCATATAATGTTCTCTCACTGACCTCTTCCAACTTATAAATTATTTTACTAAGTAGGGTATACAATTTAATAAGTTGAATCATTTTCCAGTTATTGATGTGACATCTCTCCCCAGTTAAAATAAATAATATTAAATATACTTCCTTCTGAATTGATCAACTCTATTTCTGAAAATAGTTTTCTTTCACATTATTACACATGATATCCAAATAACCAAAAAACAGTCTTCACAATCATATTTTTAATTCATTTTTCGTGTCTGCAACAAACTAAATATCCTGAAATGATGGCAAGGCTTGGGGCTGTTTAGAAAGGAGGGAGGTACCCATAAGTTGAGCAAGTCCCCATCCAGCACCCGTGTGCCCTTGGCAACCGCATCGCATCGTAACCCTCTCATCGTGCTCAGAAACACGGATGCAAAAACCGCCCGGCTACCTGCCTTAAGAGGTGCTTCGACTTGCTTCCTTTCACAGAAAAACGCAAGGCATTTTCCAGTTCCTTAAAGCATGAACACAATACTTCCAGAAACAATAGCAATGATATCGTTCCTGAGTATCTCGTCTACAAAGTATTGGTCTGATATTGCTAGATGAGAAACCCGGTCTACCCTTCCCATCTAGCTACAGGTGCAACTACACGTTTCAAAGATAAAGGTCGTTACGTTCAAAATCCAAACGAACTTCAGAAGCACCCCCAAAGGCTTCACCCACAGGCAGAAACGACTGGGCTCACTTTTCAGAGATTGTGAAAAAACGTCTCGTTCGTTCCCCTTACTACCCCTCCCATCCCGTCCTCCAAGAGAATCAACTATGAAACACGAAAGTCCAGAGGTAAATACTTCCATATCTTCTTTTGTCTAAAAGCCTCCGTAACACGCCCAAAAATAAATACAGAGAGGAAGACAGATGATGTAGGCAGGTCCCCCCACCGCCCCTGCAAAATCGCAGCCCCAGCCCCCGGGGGGCCGCGCTCGGGGAGCCCCGCGCCCGCCGCCCGTCGAGCGGCCCGGGACGGCGGCCCGGGGTGGCTGGGGGCCCGGGGAGGCTCGGTCGCTCGGCCGCCGCCGCTGGCCGCGAAGTTGGCGGCCGCCGTGCCCGGGCCTCCGGGCACCGTCCGAGGGTGCCGGGCGGCGAGCGGGCGGCTCCCGGGCGCAGGGGAGGCCGCGGCGGCGTCGGGGCCGCGCCCCTCGGAGCCGCGGGTGCAGCCGGGCCCGGCGGGCGGCCCCAGCCCCGGGCGCCTCGCCGACCCTCCCGGGCGCGGGAGCGGGCGACTTACCTGGCCCGCGGCGGCGGCGGCGGCGGCGGCTGCGGGCGCGGGGTCGGAGGCGCTCGGGCGGCGGCGGCAGCGCCCGGGAGGGCGGGAGCGAGGGAGGGAGGCGGCCGCGGAGGAGGAGCTCCGGCGCCGAGCGAGCCGGCGGGCGGGCGGGCGGCTTTGTTTCCACAGCGCCGAGCCGCCGACCCTGCGTCACCATGGCAACGCCAGGGGCCCCGGGCCCAATGGGGACCCCCGGGTACCCGGAGTCCGGGACCCGCCGGCCTGCCGCCACCGGCGCCCGAAGCCCCGCCCCTCTCCTGAGCAGTCTGGGTGCTCCGAGGGCACCAGGACCCCCAAGGAGCCGCCACCACCACAAACACACCCCTCTGTCTCCCTCCCCACGTCGTTTGTCTCGCCCCAGCAAGAAGGGGAAAGAAGCGCAAGCCCAGGGCAAATTCTGATTTCCATCCTAGTAGGCACTCCCTTTGGTGTCCCAAACTGGCCCTCCAGAAGACCCCCATCGCACCTTTCTTCGGTGGAGCTGCACCCTCAAAATGCAAATTCACTGAAGAGAGAAGAAAGAGCAGTGCAAACTGAGAAAGTGTTGAGCAACTGGTACTCGGTGCTCCTGTGGCCACTCCCGCAGCATGCGCGGAGCTGCCCGGGGACGCCGTACCTCTCCTCCTCCTCCCTCTTCTTCCAAGCTTCGCCTCAGCTGAGCTGGTCTCACGCCACCCAAATCGTGTATCAGTCCTGTTGAGGGCTCCAGTAGGAGAGAGGGGGAAGCAGGCTTTATTTTTTTACTGTAAACACAGGATACACTTTTAACCTCGCAGGCTAAGACAACTTTCAGGCTGCTGTGTGAATTGCAGCTGCTGCCACTGCTCAGCTACTCCCTGTGACTGCTAAGCATCGACCGGGAGCGGTGGCTTACTCTGTGCCAAGGACTAGCCATGGACTGCCAGCCATGGCGTTCCGAAGAAGAGAAGGGCAAGGCTAACCTTGGCATGTGCTAGGCATCCTCTCTTAGGGTAATTCTTGACGAGGGAGGCAGACCCGCAGTAATGCTTCCTCTAAAGGACAGAGGTGGAGGGCAGCTACCATGGGGTGAGTGAGTCATCACCCCATATTCTATCTTCTTGAAAGATCAGTTACTGACTCCAAAACCTACAGTATCTTCACTTCGACCCTGGGAAGCATGGCATTTATTTTCTGGCGTTTGTGAGTCACCAAAGGAATGTGAATAACTTAAAATAAAACCCCAGGGTAGCTGATGTTTTCTACCTATCTGAGAAGCCATAAAGCAGAACAATGTTATTACCAGTTGAAGCCACACATATTAATGAATGAAAATATAAGATCCATTTTATGGTGGAGAATGAAAACATCTTGCTCCTCAGAAAGGTTGGCCACTTTCCTGTAATGGGAACATTAGTACTTCCAGACAACGTCAAGAGACAAGGTCTTTCCTACAGGCTGTTAAGCAGTTTGGGAGTATTTGTCAAAATTTAAAATGTACATACTTTCACCCAGCGACCTCAATTCTTAGAAATCTGTCATGCAGAAGCACACTTTTGCAGTGATAAATGTACAAGGATATGTATTGCAAAATTTAAAGTAACTTGTATGTCCATCATTAGTGATGTGGCTAAAAAATTTGGCACATTCATACCATATAATACTATGCAGCCATTAAAAAGAATAAAATACATAGAAAAGTATTGATTTCTTATTAAATAAAAAAGAGCAGCTGCATAATAATATGTATAGGGTGACCCCATTTCTGTACAAAAAAAATTCTAGATAGAAACATAGACATAGACATATAGATAAAGGTCTGGAAGAATACATAGCTAATTGTTAACTGGTTACCAATGGTGGTTATCTCTGAAACAAGGGTAAGAATTGAAAGGACTGTTACTTGCCACTATACACAATTCCATATTGTTTGTTTTGTTTGATTATTTTTTTTCAATGAACATGTGTTAGTAATTTTTCTCTTTTTTTTCCCCTTTTTCTCCCCAAAGCCTCCCCAGTACATAGATGTATATTCTTTGTTGTGGGTCCTTCTACTTGTGGCATGTGGGATGCTGCCTCAGCATGGTTTGATGAGCAGTGCCATGTCTGCGCCCAGGATTCGAGCTGATGAAACACTGGGCCGCCTGCAGCGGAGTGTGCGAACTTAACCACTCGGCCACGGGGCCAACCCCAGTAATTTTTCAGTGAAGAACCAAAAACAAAGATCCTTAATAAATGTTTGTTGACCTATACATTACTGCCTCGTTGAGAACTGAATATAGAATAGCAAAAGGCTATTGAGTTGGCTATTCCTGCCCTTAGATGGTGAAGGCTTGGAAAAGTGCACATTGGGTCCACGTTTAGTGAATTCCTTAGTGACCTGGTTCTGCCTTATTCTGTGAGATATTCCTGTAGACATTCACTTTTCCCAAGGAGATTTAGTTTTATCTCCTATCTCGAGGAAAAAATCACTGCAATTTAAACAACAGATATTTATTTGGGCAATTAGAATTGCAATTCAGGAGACATGGATTTAGGCAGGAACCCAAAATGTGCTCCGGAGAAGACAAAGAAGACAAGAGTTTATGAAGACAAAAAGAGATAAATCACACAAGTTGTTTTACGAGAGGCGTGATTGGTGCTGGCAACAACCGATGTTCCTTGGTTACGCAGGATTGGTTGCTAAGGCCATCTCCAAGGCAAAAAGTTCTTATCTATGGGAGTAAGCATTTTTCTATAGGAGTAAGCATTTTTTTTCTTACAGGAAGGTCAAGATAACAACAGTGAGGCACAATTCAAAAAGTCACATTCCATCTGGGCAGGGCCTGGCTTCCTTAATGGCCTCCCAGCTCCATTTTAGAAGCCCTGACATATGTTACTCCATTTTGGTATTGCTGTCCACATTTTCCCCTTTTAATCAAGATCTTTTGGCAGAAAGCATCATAGATCAGCCATTTGATATATATATAGGTATTGATTTTTTTTGTTGCCAAAAGAGCTCATTCCTGGGAAGTCATGTCCCATACAGAGCTACTCAACCATCAGCAAGAATAATGCAGTCAGAGGCCATGGGCACATCTGAGCAATGAGGAGGCAGTCAGGAAATGAGTTTTAGGCATAGTCTTTGTCTAGAAAAAGAACCAAGTCCTTTGTTTTCTCAGAGTTGCAAGATTGGTCAGTCATCTCAAGTCATTGCGCGATCATCACTAAGGGTTAGATGGGAAGATATAATATTTGAAATATAGGCCTGGTCCTGTGTCTTGGGATTTGCAGTCTACATCAGATGTCATCTGCTTCTTGTCCAGGTGATTTTTGTTTTGGAGCAAGTTTTGATAACTTTAAGATAACCAAAATGTTGAGAAGTCCAGTCAGGGTCATAGATGTGTGAGGCTTTTTAAAACAAGAAACATGAATCCATGAGTCAATATCTTTTAACTTCGCAGTGCAAAGATTAGTCAGCAATATCTGATGTGGTCCTTTCCAGCAAGACTGGAGGGAGTCCTTATGGAGATGTCTTTTCCAGTAAATCACATTTCCAGGTTGTAGGCTGTGGTGTTCGATGCCTTTATCTCCCGAGAGCACGCTATGAAAAGATTGTTCTACCAGTCTCTCGTTTTTTTGGAGGGCTTCAATTAAGCCTTTACAATAGGTCACTATGTCACCTTTGAGTAGACTAGGTTCATAGGCCCTTTGGTCCAGTCTCATTGGCCTCCCAGTAATAATTTCAGAAGATGAAAGTTTATGTTTCCCAAAAGGAGTGGATCTGAGATTTAATAGCACTAATGGGAGAGCCTTTGGCCATGGCAGATGGAAAGATTCTGTAAGTTTTGCCAGTTGGGTTTTTATAATACCATTGGTTAATTCCAGAGGGCCAGAGGATTGAATATGATAGGCACAGTGAAAATGTTGCATCATTGGCCAAACATGACAAATAGATTTACTCCATTTTGTTATCACTGTCCACAGCTCCATTCTAGCTCTTAGACAAAATTACAAGCTTGTAAGAACACCATCATTCTAAAATTTGCCCCCTTACCTACCAGCAAATATCACTGGAATAGGTTAAGTGGCAGCTGTTAATCCAGTTAGTTAATTTGGAAATTAAGGTACTAGAGCTGAGAAATTATTGTATGGATGTATGACTGGTCTCTCTTATTCTCACCATTTTTGAAATATGTAAAATAATGAATTCACTTTCCTAAAGAGATCTCCTGGAGCTTCACCGTCCAGTTCAGTAGCCACTAGCCACATGTGGCTATTGAGCATTTGGAACAGGGCCAGTCCAAATTGACATGTCAAATAGGTGCAAAATGCACACAGATTTTGAAGACTTGGAACCATAAACCAAGAAAAAGTGTAATATCTTATTAATAATGTTTATATTGATTATGTGTTGAAATAATATTTTTGATATATTGGGTTAAATGAAATACATACTAAAACTATTGCATTTGTTTCTTTTCACCTTAACATTGTTACTAGAAAATTTAAAATTACGTATATGGCATATTGGACTGGTCTGTTTTAGGATTAGGGTCCACAGTAAAATATCATCAAGAAACCCAAACTTAGCTATTCTTCTTAACCTTTAGTTAGAACAAAAAGTAATTA